AGTCGAATTGGATGAAGCTGATGAGGATGCAGGTTACTGCAAGCTTTTTTCGGAAAATCTATGCGGCCAAGCTTTAATGTGGTTCACCCAATTAGAGCCGGGTTCGATCAGCAATTTCGACGAGCTATCAGCTGTATTCTTAAAGCAATATTCCATCCTTATGGATAAAAGCGTTTCGGATGCCGATCTTTGGAACTTATCACAGGGATCAAACAAATCACTTCGAGTTTTCATCACCAAGTTCAAAGGAGTGCTGTCAAAGCTCCCAAGAATCTCACAACAATCAGCTTTATCTGCCTTACGAAAAGGATTGCGACATCATTCAAGATTTAAAGAAGATTTAATACTTCATAAACCATACACAATTCAGGATGCACTCTTCCGCGCAAACAACTGGATGGAGGTAGAGGACGAAAAAGAAAATTTTGCCAAAAGAAATAAGCAAGAGAAGCCGGCAATCACCGTCCCTACCAAGAAGTTCGAACCCATGGAGAACAAAGGACCAAAAAAATTTGGGTCGCAACCCTTCAACAGTACCGTCGGAAAGCAATTCCAAGGGAAAGGTAGATCAAACACTTGGGTCCGTGATGAAAGTTTATATTGCGACATTCATAAAGTGACCGGACATTTAACCAAGGATTGTAAAGGCACCTCGCAGAGCTTTGGGCCAGTGGAGATCTTTCCAAATTCGATATAAAAGATTTTGTGAAGGAATACCACGAAGCAAAGGAAAATTCCAAAGATCAAAATTCCAAAAGACCAAGGTTAACCAACGACGAAGAACCAAGGAATTCTAAGGGTAAGATCAATGTTATTCTAGGAGGTTCCAAATTTTTTCGAGATTCGATAAGTTCCATCAAGAAACATAGACGAAATGTCATACTCAAAGCAAGCTTGAGCGAAGAAGTCGATTTTCAAGGTGCATCAATAACATTTGATGAAGAAGAAACGCGGCACCTCGAAAGACCTCATGATGATGCCCTAGTCATTACCCTAGACGTAGCCAACTTTGAAGTATCAAGGATCCTTATATATATACAGGCAGTTCGGTCGACTTGATCTTTTTAAGTACCTTAGAAAGAATGGGAATTAGTCGGGCGGACATAGTAGGACCTCCGTCTCCATTAGTTGCATTCACGAGTGAGTCAGCCATGTCTCTTGGGACAATCAAGCTACCAGTCCTTGCCAAAAAGGTATCGAAGATCGTGGACTTTGTTGTCTTCGATAAGCCCGCAGCTTACAACATCATCCTCGGGACTCCCTGGATTTATCAAATGAAAGCAGTCCCCTCTACATATCAATGTATCAAATTTCCAACATCAAGAGGAGTGGAAACAATTCGGGGAGATCAAGAAGCTTCACGGACGTGTTATCTAGCTAGCCACCGTATGAAGATTCAATAGCAATTAACGAAGCCCGCAAAAGAGGGACTAAGATCAAAATTTCCTAGCGGACAGAAAAAAGATGATGTAGTAATCGAAGTGGTATTGGAAGAAGACAAACCGGACCAGAAAATTCGAATTGGGGCAACTTTGACTGGCCAAATAAAAGAAGCTTTGATCGAACTCTTGAGGAAAAACAAAACATCGTTTGCGTGGTCAGCGGCGGACATGCCTGGCATAAATCCAAGTGTAATTTGTCATGAACTAAACGTGGATCCGAGCTTCAAACCGGTGAAACAAAAAAGAATAAAGCTTGGAGTAGAGCGAGCAAAAATAGTAAATGACGAAGTGGATAAACTTTTGAAGATAGGGTCCATAAGAGAAGTGCAATACCCAGAGTTGGTAGCAAACACTGTCGTTGTCAAGAAGAAGAATGGGAAAGATAGGGTTTGCATCGACTTCACAGACCTAAATAAAGCATGTCCCAAAGACAGTTTCCCGCTGCCACATATAGACCGACTTGTAGAGTCCACCGCTGGGAACGAGCTGTTAACATTCATGGACGCCTTCTCGGGTTATAATCAAATAATGATGAACCCCGAAGACCAAGAAAAAACGTCATTTATCACTGATAGAGGCATCTATTGTTACAAGGTAATGCCTTTTGGTTTGAAAAATGCAGGAGCAACTTATCAACGGTTGGTTAACAAAATGTTCCATAATCATCTCGGGAAGACAATGGAAGTCTACATAGATGATATGTTGGTTAAATCGTTAAAGAAAGAAGATCACATTAAGCATTTAGAGGAATGTTTTGATATTCTCAATAAATATCAAATGAAGCTGAACCCGGCGAAGTGTACATTCGGAGTCCCATCCGGAGAATTTCTTGGCTATATTGTGACAGAAAGAGGGATTGAAGCCAATCCAAATCAAATTAACGCTTTTCTAAATATGCCATCTCCAAGATACTTCAAGGAAGTACAACGGTTGACTGGGCGAATCGCGGCTTTGAATCATTTCGTCTCTAGATCAACAGATAAGTCATTACCTTTCTACCAAATTCTAAAAGGAAACAAAAGATTCCTTTGGGACGAGAAGTGTGAAGAAGCTTTTGGGCAGCTTAAGGCATACTTAACCACTCCACCTATACTCTCCAAACCAGAAGCGGATGAAAAACTTTATTTGTACGTGTCGGTTTCAAACCATGCGGTTAGTGGAGTCTTGGTTCGGGAGGACCGCGGGGAACAGAAACCAATTTATTATGTAAGTAAGTCAATGATAGATCCGGAAACCAGATACACAATGATGGAAAAACTCGCACTCGCGGTGGTGACTTCGGCTCGGAAGCTGCGCTCATATTTTCAATCCCATCCGGTTAAAGTATTAACCAACCAACCACTCCGAACAATACTTCATAGTCCAAGTCAGTCCGGACGTTTGGCAAAATGGGCGGTGGAATTAAGCGAGTACGATATAGAATTCAAAAGCCGGATCAGTATGAAGGCTCAGGTTTTAGCAGACTTCTTGACCGAGCTACCAATACTTGGAACGATAGAGCAACCGGAGAACCAAACTTGGAAGTTACATGTAGATGGGTCTTCAACAAAGCAAGGATCCGGAGTGGGAATCAAGTTGAGTCTCCAACATCAGAAATTCTAGAACAGTCATTCCGGTTGTTATTCAATGCCTCCAACAATGAGGCAGAATACGAAGCCTGATTGCCGGACTTCGATTGGCACAAGGAGTTGGAGCTAAGGAAATAGTGGCTTATTGTGATTCACAATTAGTAGTTAACCAGTTTAATGGAGACTATGAAGCCAAGGACTCAAGAATGGAAGCGTACCTCGAAGTGGTGAAGGATCTATCTAAAAATTTCTCGAAATTCGAATTAATCCGCATACCTCGGGGGGAGAATACAACTGCGGACGCACTTGCCGCATTGGCGTCAACATCAGATCCTGAGTTGAAAAGAGTTATTCCAGTGGAATGCATTTCGGAGCGAAGTATTCAAGACAACAAAGAAACCCTCGTCGTTACAAGGTCTCGAGCAGCGGCACGTGACCGTGGCGAACTAGAGATCGAACCTCCGCCCAACAAACGGAGGAAGTCAAGGGGATCAAACACATCTAACAAGGAACCCGTTGTCTTAGCAGAAGATGTGATTCCAGAAATGATATTAGAAACCGGGCCGTTAATCGAGGAGGATGTTCTTGAACCAAACGAACATCCCGAACCGGAGCCACGAGTATTTCACAAGGTTGACCAAATTCCGGCTAAAGACTGGGGGGCTGACTAGAGCGAGCCAATCAAGCACTACATCAAGACAGGCGAGCTCCCAAAGAATAAGTGGCAGGCCAGGAAAATGAAAATCGTTAGCGCAAAATTTTGTCTATCAAAGGATGCATTATATAGACGAGGTGTCAGTGACCCTTACCTATTATGCATTTTTGGGCCCGAAGTCGAAATCGTCATAAGCGAAGTGCATGAAGGATTATGTGGGAGTCATTCATCAGGAAGAGCTATGGCTTTTAAAGTTAAAAGAATGGGATACTATTGGCCCACTATGATCACGGATTGTGTTAAATTTGCCCAAAGATGTAAGCGCTGCCAACTCCATGCACCATTTATCCATCAACCTTCGGAGTTATACTCTTCCATCTCCGCCCCGTACCCGTTTATGAGATGGTCAATGGACATCATTGGACCATTGCACAGATCAACTCGAGGTGTATAGGTCTTGACGGACTACTTTTCGAAGTGGATTGAAGCTGAGGCATATGTTGGCATCAAGGATTCAGCGGTAAAGGCTTTCATTTGGAAGAATATTATATGTCGACATGGAGTTCCATATGAAATAGTCACCGATAACGGGCCACAATTCATTTCACAAGAGTTTGATGCCTTTTGTGCGGACTGGGGAATCAAAGTCAATTACTCTACTCCACGATATCCGCAAGGAAACGGTCAAGCTGAAGCTGCGAACAAGACGATATTGAGCAATCTCAAGAAACGTTTGAATCATCTAAAGGGAGGATGGTACGAAGAACTCCAACCCGTCCTATGGGCCTATCGTACAACCCCTAGGCGACCTACCGGAGAAACTCCATTCTCTTTGGTTTATGGCATGGAGGCAGTAGTACCAGCTGAACTCAACGTGCCCGGACTTCGCCGAACAGAAGCACCATTAAATGAGGAAGAAAATTCAGTAATGCTTAATGATTCACTAGATACCATAAATGAAATGCGTGATCAAGCTTTGATTCGGATTCAGAATTACCAGCAGGCAGCAGCCCGATATTACAATTCTAAAGTTAAAAGTAGGCCGTTCTTCGTGGGAGATTATGTGTTAAGGCGCGTCTTTGACAACAAAAAAGAAGAAGGTGCCGGTAAACTCGGTATTAATTGGGAAGGACCTTACATTATTACCGAAGTGGTTCGGAACGGTGTTTATAGGTTGAAAGACTTAGAAGACAGTCCAGTCAAGCGACCTTGGAATGTGATCAACCTAAAGAAGTTTTATGTTTAAAAGCTACATGCATTTTTTATGTACATGAACTACGGTGTGGCTTGATCCCGAAACGGGTACGTAGGCAGCTCGGAAACGAGTTCAGCTATTAATAAAAGTTTATTTTATTTCTTTATTAAAGGAAAGGGTTCGACTGAGCGAACAACTGAAGCAAGTAAAGGTTCGGTTATGCGAACATACAAGAGATTGGAAGCAAAACATTTATTCAAACGAACAAGACAAAGTGTCGATCTTCGCACACTTCGAGTTAGGAAAACCCTCCCGGAGAGCAGAACACTTGAACTCCTTGACCAGCAAGATCAAGAACTAGCACCATACAATCCGGGATACGAGCAAATTCGGAGATTCCGAGCTCAATCCACTCTCCGGGGTGAGAACTAAGGATGTGAAGATCCCTTGATATCGCAGTGACCCTGCGCTGCATTCGATGAATCTTCTTCCGAAGTTTTTTCTTTTCCAGCGATAGCTTCCTGTGTTGAATTGCGAGCGCTTTGATAAAGGCCATCGCAATCTCCCGGTCTCTATCTGGAAGGTTCTTGATCAAAGCGCATGGAGCTTGGATCTGAGATCTGAAAAAGCCGCGAACTGGAGAAGATCGTCTACTTGGAACATCTGGAACATCTTCATCCATCATTCCGATCCTAGAGAAGTCCGGCATAGACTCTGAACATCGAAGGTTAAAATCCATATCTGCAGAAGTAAGAAGAATAGTGAGAAGTAAAGGGAAGTTGAAGCTGTAATTTATAGGGACTTCATATCCCTAGCAAGCAGCAGATTCAGCCCGGAAATGGAGTGATTTGCGGCAAGATTTATGCCCTTAAACCAATCCTGCATTAAAAGACGCATCTCCGAGAATATTTGAAGGGAAAGGAAAGTTGCAAATGTTTCCATAAATAAAAGGGCCGAAGCCCATTATGAGTTCAAAGTGAGTGGAAAGGTTAGAGAACATTTATGGAAGAGGCTCAGGAACAGGCTCCTTCATCGCCGTTTTAGTTTTCGAAGTAGACGCCTTGTTCTTGGCGTCCACCTCGGAACAATCCCGAACGCGTTTCCGACTGGTACTGGCCTCCTCTTCGTCTTCTTCCTCGCTATCAGATGGAACGGTATGGACCAGAGCATTCACAGGACCCGGAACTCCTCTAGCACGGAGATACATCCGAAGCATCTTCGGGATCTCAGCAACAGAATCGAAGTTCCGCCATTCCCATTGAAAGGGATCACTTTCCAAAGGCCGTATCTTCCTCTCCACCCGAGCAATGCGAGCCTCGAGTGTTTGCCTTTTGAGGCCTAGCCGCTGTCTCTCTTCACACAAGCGACGGTGTTTGTCGGCGACCTAGCATAAAGATGAATGAATAAGATGAAACAAAAGTTTTTAATCAAAGACGACAGATATTAACCTTGTCAATAAAGTCGCAAGCCTCTTTCTTCTCCTTTGAAGGAAAGTGAAAGATGGCGTGAGGGAAAAGAACGCCGGCCGGTTCAAAGCCATCGCCAGACAAGAATAGTGGGCTGCCGGGATCAATAGGAGCTATGTTTTCGTTCTCCATTAATATGATATTATGAAGTTTCTTGAGGAAAGATCAAAGCCGGACAAACTCCTATTTATAATAGGGTTAAGGTTTTCCTCAGGAATGAAAATTCAATAATGGTGGCGTGCCCTAGCGGTTTAAACCATTTTTGGAAAATCGAGAAAAGACAATTATTGCATTAAAGACGAGCTGCTTTTCCTACTTTCAATAAATAAGAAGGGAAAAAGCAACCGTCGCATTAACTACAAAAGTTTCTAAGGCTCAAGCCCAATAAATTTGCCGAGTTGACTAAACCCAAAGTGGGGAAATCGCGTTAAGCCGAGCTCAGTTCTCGCATTCTAAAGAGAAAGGTCTGATCAGCCTAAAAATCTCGAAAGCATAACCACAAGGCCACAAAAGATTAAAAGCGGACTTTGCAAACCCGCACATAGTTTTAACCAAACCCCCTTGGGGTCAAAACATAGAAAGGTTTAAAAGCCTCCTCAGGCAAATATCTTGTTCAAAAGAAATAATAAAGCCTCCTTAGGCAAAAACGAGTTCGAAATTAAGTTTTAAAATAAATGGGACAATTCCCAATTTAAAGTGGACGCAGCCACTACGGAGTAACAGCCACATTGGACTCCGGTTCGGCAGTCGAAATTTCATTCGCCTCCTTGGCTGGTGCTTGGTCAGATGGAGCTCCTGGTCCGCCCTCCACAGTACAACCATCCTCCGGAGTGACCTCCGGTGCAGCAAGAACTTCGGGTAGGACGACATCCTCCGCCTCACTTGAACCTAGGAAGGACAGTTCCAGTCAATTTAAAAAAAAAAAAAAAAACATAAGGTGAGAAAAAGGTAGTAAGTGTCAGGAGCCAAGCATTACCTGCCCAGTCTAGACCCGATTCACTTATAGGAGGCGATTCAGTGAAGAATTCCTCGAAGTCCTGCGGGTTGAAGGTCGAAGTGGGAAGAGCTGCCAAGCGACTCCGCTTTTCAGAAAGATTAGCCGACAGTTCGGTCCTTTATTGCTCCTCGGAGAAATCTGTATCATGGATTTGATCCAACAGAATCAGGTTGCTCTCGTGCTCTTTGATGTCTGATTCCAAATCTGACCTAGCTTTCTCGGTCTGCATGAAGCGGATGGCCCCTTGGATCAACTCCATCCCACGTCCCTTAACTTCCTTTCTGGCTTTCGATGCCGACCTTGCCAACTCGGAATCACGCAATTTGGCAATCGCCTTGTACTTCGCGTTAAGCTCAATGAGTTGGTTATTCAGGGTATCGGCGGTTGATTCGGATTCGTGAAGCCTACCCTGAACACCAGAAAGCTCATCCTGGAGTTTGAAATTTTGGTCGTACTGGTCCTGCAGCTCCCCCTTAATCTTTGTCAGCTCGGATGTTAGACTGTCGACCTTGTCCTCCAGATCGTGCTTAGAGCCGGTAGAAGAGCTTAGTTCAGCCTCAAGAGCAGAAAGTTTTTTCTTCCACGCGTCAATCTCCTTTTCCCGACCAAGGACCAGCCCCTCATAATGTTCAATCATGTCATTAAGCTCACCGTTAGCCTACCATTATGCATGAAATCGAGATGGTGAGGCATTTCGATGAACGGCAGCACAATCAGAAAAATAAAGCGGAACTAACCCGAGATGAATGATGAGCATGAAGCAAATAGCGTTCACGAATCGCAGGGCGCCACTTGTCGAAGTCTAGCAAGATCGAACCCGATCGGGGCTTGAAGCATCGGAAGACGCTGCCTTCTTTCTCCATAGCTGCGAAGGGGGAAGAGTTGTAAAAATTGGAATCTGAATAGAGATAAAAACTTTTAAGTATGTATAAATCACCAGACCTGAAAGCGATTTGACTTGAGGAACAAGAACAGGCTTTGACCTCGAGGAAGCATCTCCAGATTCAGAATCTCCCTTTTTAGGAGATACGCTCCGGACAGTCTTTTCGTTGTCAGGCTGGGAAGAGGAAGACATATCAACCGGTCGAGGAGGACCCATTGGTTCAGTAGAAGGGGATGATCGAGGTGAACGGTCAGTCCGGGCCCTTGACTTCTCCCTTCGCGGGGAAGAATCACTACGAGAAGACTTGTCTCTCTTCCTGCGAACCAAATTCTTAAGTGGTTCATTGCTAAAATCATCTCGGGGAGGACGAGGTGAATCACGGCGAGGAGATCGGTCCCTCCGAGGAGAACGTGCGTCACGACGAGGAGTTAACCTAAAAGAAGCGACGGATCTGGCTCCTTCAGAGCTGCCGTCATCAACCAGCATGGTCCTACTCTAGTCCTTCTTATCTATAGAAGCTGCAATAAACTCTTTCTTCCCCTCACAAGCCTCAGCTATCGGCTTGGAGAGCACCTTACGCTTGGCCGCAAGGGCCCGAGATGACATCCCCTGAGTTGAGGGAGGATGCGGAAGTTGGTGAAGTTGACCTGGGGGACTCATTCTGAGCCTGTGGTTGGCTTCTAAAAATCGTTCAAGAGTGAAAGAATTCCAAAGGGTTTCCCCTTCGAGAATTATTTTGAAGAATTCAACGAATGCGTCAGATGGGAGAGTCGGAGCGACGAAAGCTGCGAAATGAAACAACGGTTTTAGTCAATAAAGATAATAAAACAACCGGGTAAGAAATGGGCGACCTAATCTCTACCAGGTTTCGCAGACCACTTCGAAGGAAGAAAATCTGCAAGATTTCCAATCGAAGCGGGAGTTTTCTTAATCAGAAACCAAGGATGGTGCCAATTTTCATCCTTATTCGGAAGATGCGAAATGATGTTCCTGTTGGCGTTTGGATATGCCGAGAAATACCCCATTTTCTTCGATGAACTTCTCACGCTTAGAAGCTCATTTAGCTCAGTGACTACGATAACGTATCCGGCCTCCGCCGCGATTGTTATAATTCCAAGGATAGTACGAAGAAGATTAGGGGTAATTAAGGAAGAGCAATTTCAAGAGCCGCTAGGTATCGAACTAGGGCTTCGGGAAGGGGAAAGGTCAGCCCGCAACCTTTAAAATAGATCTCGTATACATAGAAGTAGCCGTCGCGGTGGCTTTCTGGGGATTCCGTAGGATCAGCTATCTGCGCCTCCGCCATAATTCCCGGTGGGATTCGGCAGAGCTCCTTCAATCGTTCAAGGGATTGAAGGGTGCAGGTGGATCTATAGTGCGGATCGGCAATATCATTAGGGCGGGTGCACTCATCATTGCTAGAACGCCTCTCATCGAAAGACGGAGACTCGGGTCTATCGGAATCGGAAGTCATTGGGAAGAATGAAAAATTCAAGTTTCGGAAAAAGAAAATTTTGAGAGAGAAGTAGAAGGAGTTTTAACCACAAAGATCAAGAGTAGAAGTAATAATGAAAAAGAAGGTTACCTCACGCAAGCTAGGTGATAAAGATGGAACCGTCTTGGGAATCGTGGAAGAAGTGGGAAGGTTTTTTCCCGCTTTAATAGTAAATAATCGATATACGGTCATAATGGCGACAGATGTCACGCGACTAAGTATGGGCAGCGCCGAAATTAAAGGACTGATGGGATCTTGGCGGGAAAAAATCAGAAGATTCCTCGGAACGCAATCTTTGGTCATTAAAGCATTTGAAGTCCTCCGAATTGGAATAGCACTTCGAAGAACTTGGGGGGCTAATTGTTGGTGTCGGATCCCGCACCAGAAGTCCGATACCAACCAAAGATTGCCACGTAGTCAAGATAATGGCCCATAAAGGATAGAGCCCATTGGACCCGTGAGCTGAAGGAACGGTCGAAGTGGTTATCACCACTTCGAGGATCCGAAGTGACTGCGCTTCGACATGGGTTCGGTGTAGAAGACACGGGTAAGTCGGTTCAAGGACACTTGGGCCAAAAGGCGAGGCCCATGAAGATCAGAGTCAACTCAAATTCAAACGTTGAGCATTAAAGTCAAAGATCAAAACGGACACATTTAAGAAGGGATAATTGTACTTAATTATTCATTTTAATGTCGTTTCTCTATGTATAAATATAAAGGCCAATGGCCATGTAAAGGGAATATCTCTCTCTCGAGCAAGAAATACTATAGCAATTTTTGTAGCAATTCATAAGCCTTTTACATTCTTATTTTTTGTCCCTCAAGAATAATCTTTCCTATTTAATAAAAAATACTTGAGTGTGTGAATCCGACATCCACAAACCCCACTGGTCTAAGTCCCACGATAGAGATTGGGGATCGTACATTTCCCTTAGTTCACGCTGGCCGAATCAAGCTCTTGGCTCATTGGTCCATCCGTCCTCCAAACGTACGCCCCTTCGGTTTCACGGTGGACGATCAGGCCCTCGGCTTATCGAGCCATCCATGTTTTTGATTCGGTCATTTATCACTACGACCGCCCATGGTTTATTAACCGTTTACCTCTCCGGTCCATGGTGGTCGGTAAATCCTTCGGCTTATCGATCCATCCATGCGATCCGAACAATATCATTATCACACCCAAGCGTCCGTGGATTCATCCAT